TGCCATGTAGGACCGTTTACTAACACATTCAAACGAGTGAGTGATTGAGATGGACGGAGGAAAGTTCAGTGGCCAACTGGACAATTGATGAAGTTTAGTGGGTAGGCCGTGACATGGTATGAAGTTCGGTGGCCAACGAAACAATTAACTCGACCGAATGAATGGATCTGCACACTCAGAAACGTTTTAACGCACAAGAATTAACCTCGGCCATTGATCCAAAATGGATGGCTAATATTATTCAAAAAGAAGCACAATCCAAGGCTCACATCATCGCCTATTCATGCCATGCCATGTGGCCACTCTGGCTAGACCTCTAAATCTAAACCTACGACCAAAGAAGCATGTTTTAACTAGAGAAGTAAGCTACTTGTAAACACGTGTACACCTAAATTGACACTTTTAACGTGCCGAAAATTTGATCATTGATGAGAAAAAACTTTGTTCAAATCTGTAGACATACAAAAAATGAAGCTCAATTAAATGGTCCAAGAATTGGAATCCAGTTAGGGAGTTCAAGATATAGGCCCAGATGAAATCATTGTAGAATATAGTGGAGACCCATAAACAAAGTACTATCNCCAGTTAGGGAGTTCAAGATATAGGCCCAGATGAAATCATAGTAGAATATAGTTGAGACCTATAAACAAAGTACTATCATCGTTCAATCCTACAGGACGTCCAGGATCTGAGCGAATGAAGTACCTTACTGTCGCCCAGAACGATGATCCTATTCTCGCCCAAGTCTTTGAGTCGCTCAAGATTTGAGCGAGTACGGTGTCTTGTGATTACTTAAAACAACGGTTATCGAGCCTTATTGAGCAACCTTATCACACCCCACGATTCAAGAATCTTAGTTACAAGCGGTTAAACAACAAGAGCAATAATAACAGTTGCGAACGACAGTTTCTTGACAAGTCAGTCATCACAAAGAGAGTGAGTAGTTATAGAGTGTTAAGCAGTTTCCAAAACAGTTCTACAAGAGAAAATCGACAAATGAGTATAAAAAGGAAAGGAAGACATAGAAGGAAGGATTCCGAATCAATCACTCTCAACAGAGAATATGTAATTTCAATTCATTTAATTTCTAATTGCAAACTTTCAATTTACTTCGTGTGCTTGTCCCCCTTGGAGGCGTTTTGCTTCTTTTCAATTGTAATCTTTATAAATAAAGCACCCTTTTTTGGAGACTTTATCTCAAGAGGTTTGTTCCTTATACAATCGTCTGAACCTATCTTTTAATTGTTAGCGATAATCCGCGCGAAACAAAATCAAGGACCTTGTTACATATATATCAAGATTTACATAACGCAACTCTATCATTTGTCAATTTAAAACACAATCATCTTTTCCATCCAATATTTTCCATCCACATCATTTTCGATAACTACTCATGTGCATTTTTTATATATAAGTAGCAAAATCTTAAAAACAATGTAGGAAAATCTACCAATTCAAATGTGTATCAAACTATGAGCCTGTTTTAACCCCTCTCTCTCTCTTTTCTCTAAAAAATGCATTTTGAAATAGTAAATTAATAGAGAACATGATAAATAAAATATGAAAAAAAAAATCAAAAAACGTTTATTAAAAATAAAATAAAGATATAGTTACGGTAGAAAAGGTTACTACTACATATGAAAAATTATGTTCTTACAAGTTACTTAGGCCCTGTTTGGTGGCCTTAAAATTTCAAAACATAGTTTTGAATATTATTTTTTGAAGAATGTGTGGTTGAAAAAAATGAAAAGTTAGGGTTTACGTATAAAATATTTTATTATATAAATGTGCGATTGAAAATGATCATGTATCAAAAGTTAAATTAAACTAAAGGTTGTCAAACAGGGGGCTTATGAGCTCATGAATAAGATCTCCTTGTTTTTATGTAAAAAGTGTTGATCGTATAGTTAAACAACGAAATCGTCAAACCCTAAAATTAAATAGAAATTGATTTTTGAAATCGTTGCTTTGAATCCACGTGGATCTGTCAACGTTTTGGTTTTGAACCAAACCAATTCGAAGTGATTTTGTCTATGTTTCAATATTTGCAAACTGTTTCAAACTACTAAACCACTAACCAAAAAAAACTGAAAATAAATTTATTTAAATTTTATTCAACCAAATTAGAATTAAATATATGCATATGAGACATAACACAATGGAACTCAATACCTAAATAAACAATTATCCATCCAAATATTAATTAAATCAATTAAATCATACATAAATACCTATTAATCATCACAAATGCGAATGCAAAACCCTCCAATTGAGTTAGATGTTCAACAATTATTGTTGAACTATATTCATTGACCGACTATTACAATTGAGTTAACAATTAAATCTAGAATTTAATTCAAAGTCACACATTTCTTTTCTTTTTATTAATAATTTTCTCAAATTTCAGCTAAATTTTCAAAACAGGTTATCCAATTTCTTATTATTATTATTATTATTATTTTGGTATTATTGATAGTTGTGTTGTTTCATTTAAATTTGTGTCGGATCCTCTTAAATTTTTAGCGAACAACATTTTTTATTTATTTGCGTCAATTTGTTGGTCATGTCACTCAATTAATTATTTACATTTTAACTTATTTTCTCGAGTTTACTGTTAGTTGCTAGATTGATTTAGTGGATTACTTCAATGATTGTTTTAAATATTTGATCAATTAGTCTTTCGACATATTATATTGATAAAAATTCAATGCAAATAAATGCAATATTGTCCCCCAAATTACTAAAGATGTGTTAGCTATTCAACATCCACAATTGTTTCAGCGTCTACATTTTTTATTAGTGGTCGAATTCTTGATTCCTTTAAGAATTCGTTGAGTACAAATATAATTGAGAGATTGATTTGTCCTAAAAATTGGTTGCATAGTAGTAAGATACCTATAGTGATTCGTCAATTTTTGGATGAGTTAAAATCGTTGAAAGATTTACGAAAATTATAGAATGTATTAACTTATTTGATCTTTATATTCATTTTTTATTAGTTGTTTTATATCATTTTAATATAGCCAATGAATTCATACATTATTTTTTTATCTTAATGGAGAGCATGAATCACGTGTTACAATTGAAAATATTGAGCTAATTAGTATCG